AAACTGCACTGCAGCTTAAAAGACGACAACTTTGCAGCCTGGTTAAAAAAAAAAAACGCTCACGTCATCTACGCACTGGCGTGCGTAAATAAAGATTTTGTTCATAGCGGCTCAACAGGACTTGTATAGGGCAAGGACGCGCGCTATGTTATAATCGTATTTGTGTCTCACAAGGATGAAGACTGCCTGACTAATATACTGAACGCTGAGCTAAATAAGTTGTCAAAATGGTTTAGAGCTAACAGGCTTTCATTAAACTTGAAAAAAACCAAATTCATTAATATTGTATTTAAACCATGCCAATAGCGTACTAATCAAACTATTCAACTTTTAATTAATAGCCAAAAAATTGATGAAGTAAAAGAAACAGTTTTCTTGGGAGTAATCATGGATGAAAATTTAAATTGGAAATCTGAAATCCCACATGTCGCCAATAAAGTTTCTAAATGCATAGGAATTGTTCGTAAATGCAGTTTCTATTTATCGACGAAAACCTTACGAACACTATATTTTTCTCTAGTCTATCCATACTTTTTTTACTGCAACTTAGTTTGGGCCTCTACTTACAGAACTAACCTTATTCGTCTTGAGATTTAACAGAAACGAGTGATTCGATGCACATACTGATCCAATCTTTCAAAATCTTGGTATCTTAAAATTTCATGGTATATACTTAATACAACTAGGTTTATTCATGTACTCCTATCAAAACCATACTCTAGCTTTAAAATTTCATTGTAAATTCAGGGACACCCAACGAGAACATAGTTCAAAACCACTTAAACATAGCATTGTTAAACGTATTTTAGTATTTAAACGGTAGATATAGGCATATTTTTATCCCCTAAAAATTTTTCATCTGTTCGGATTTCCTAGCTGAAAGTTTAGTGATCCGAAAATTATAGGGATCAAAACTAACCTTTTTGAAAATTTCAGCCAGAAAAAAGGCTCCCGAAAATTCTAGGTGACCTTTTTAGGGTAAAAATCCGTTAAAAATAGGCAATTATACCATTTTTTAGATGTTCGAAAATCCTAGGAAAGGCAGGTAAGCAAGAAATTTTACAACAAATATTTTACGACAAATGTTTTACAACAAGTGTTTCGAAAATTCGTCGTACTCGAACCAAATAATTTTCCGTTTTTTTTTCAAGGACCTAAATTTTACAACACCTTAAACACCAACATCATCAACGCTTCCTCACCTTTTCCCTTTAAAAGAACACTTAAGGCAAAAATCTTGGGAAAAAGCCTTTTAATATTCAACATTTGTAAAGTTTCGTAATATTGATTAGTTTAATTTTCCACCTAATATGTTGATGTGGCGATCTACAGTGAGCACATTCCTTTCCTGTAAGGAATGATTTTCACACGCAGAGCAAGAATCGCAATAACATAAAAAGAGACTCAGATACCTAATTTATGTTACTAACGAAGTACCAGAGTGATGTCCTCATCATTAGGTCACTATATTTTACTTCAATAAATAGTACAAAAGAAGGTAAACCCGAAATTCGTACATTTTCTAACCCTGGGCCGAATTGTTCAAAGGACGTTAGCGCTAATCCAGGTTTAGTTACCGTGACTACTCATGAGGTCCGCTAACAGTTAACCCTGAGGACTAGAACAGACCGGGCTTCCTGTACAAATCTGCCCTGGATTAAATCGGCTTTGGAGAAACTGGTCGCTGTTGTTAGTTATAGCTCGTCCTCTTCTTGTTTCTGAGCTGTTCATGGTTAGTGGATCCAGTTTGACATGTTTTCTAAGGGATACATTTGTAATAAACATCCATCGGCTGACTGAAAATTTGCGTAGTTTAATTACCGTACTTCAACCTTCCCTCAAGGAACCGTCATCGGAGCTGCCATACTCTTTCTGCTCTTCAATACTTCATTAATGACATTGCATTACATATCCAGAATTCTAACATCGACATTTATGCTAATGATGCTACGTTAACCTCTTAGACCCTGTTTACATGGAGTGGGGGACCCCGGTCCAGTGGGGTAAGTTTCTTTTGTTTTGTGTCCCCCAGAGCGTGAAAACAAAAGAAACCAACCCCACTAGACCGGGGTCCCCCACTCCATGTAAAAAGGCCCTTACTCTAAGTGGAATAACATCTCTTTAGTAAACAATGACGTTCCCATTGTACCGACCTGAATTTGCCAATTAACGTTCAAACAATAGGCCCTTTGTTCCAGGTGACACCCTACCCAGACCGAGCCGAAGTTTGGTTGAATAATCGGAAACCTTCGTCGTGACAAAATTGCGAACCAGGGGAGTAGGGAGTGCTACATTGCGCTGTGAATAATGATGCTTCACTAGGGTACCATCGGGAGAAGTTGAACTTCGTACAAATTTAGTCCGTGCGGAGATGAGAGCAGTCTTTTACTTAATTTGTTTTTGCTTCAGGTTCTTAATCACACAAATATAAGCATCGAGACAGTGAACTAAAATCTTAACCTTTTTACGTTTAGAAGTTAAGCTCATTTTTTCATCGAGTACACTGCAAAATAATCGGCAGTGGCTCTCGCAATCGTTCTTTTTGTCATCGCGCAAAAGTGACGGGGTTGGATTCAAAATGACCAAAAAATCGGAACGCTCAGATCATTTTATGTCGGTCCTTCGCGCTTTGCTAAGACACTTCTAAAGAGAAAGAAGAACTTAATTGGAATTCTGCGCGCTACCGAAATCTATATCATGTAAGCATAAGCATGATGTCTGCACTGCTTCAGAATCTTTAAAATTGAGGTTACGCTTCAGTATTTTAGGCCGATACTACTTTACGACCCTGTTTTGCAGTTTTAGAACATATTTGTCTACCTTATTTAAAAAGTTTACAAAATATACCATCCTATTATGTGCTTTATGCGAACAACCACAACTCAGCAATAACAATGCTTTGTAGCAATAATAATTACCGCAGAAAGGTGTGATTTTTAAACTTGCACCTCCCCCAAATACAGACCCTACCAGTGAATAGTTCTAACAGCAAAATGCAAATGATTTACAAGGAACTTAAACGAAGGCGTATTTAAGACTGTTTTGTGAATTGTGTTTTTATAGATTTAATCACACAAGTAAACAGCGCGTTCATGTTAGAGAACTGACGCACCAAGCGCGAGAATTTTGCTTGAAAAGAGCAGCAAATTATATCAGTAAGGGACGCGGGGCCATAAAACCGTGTTTTAAACTTCGTGGGTAGTGAGGTGAAAGGACGTGTGTTTTTTTCAGTCTTTTGTTTGCTGTTCCCTTTCAGTGTTTCGATCGGCATCTGAAAATGGTCTTTTTATAGATTTAAATCACACAAGGAAACAGAGTGTTCGTGTTAGAGAACTTACGTTTGTTTGAAAAGAGCAATAAATTATATCAGCAAGGGACGCGGGGCAATAAAAGCGTATGTAAACTTCTTGGGCAGTGAGGTGAAAAGAGGGGGGATTTTTTCAATCTTTTGTTTGCTGTTCCTTTTCAATATATTAATCGTCATCTAAAATCGAGCTTTCTTTCGTCTGATTTAAATCCCACAAGTAAACAGCGAGTTCATATTAGAGAAGTTACGCTCCAAGGGCGAGAATTTTGCTTGAAAAGAGCAGTAAATTATAAGGGTCGGGGGCACAGAACCGTATTTCAAGCTTCGCTGGCAGTGAGGTGGAAGGTCAGGGGCACCGAACGACTGTTTTCTGTAAAATGTCTGTTCGGAGAAGCAAAAATTGCCTACAATATTCTGTTACTTGAGGACGGCTAAAAATTTCTAGATGGCCGTTCCATTCATGTACAGTTTTCGTAGCCTATCTAATTAATTCCCTACGATTTTCTAAAGTTTAGTTTTTGACATTTAAGCCCCCAACTTAGCCTATTTTTCGTTGAAAAAGGAAATCTAAAATTTTCGGATTAGAAAATGCGATGGAGAGAGGAATCAGGAAAATTCTCACTTTCGTAAAACCTAAAATTGCATCTAAAATTTTCGGGAAAATAATTCTGAGGCCCTAAGTGATTTCGGAAAGATTCAAGTTGCCCTAGGACGACCGAACAGATACAACTTTTATAGCGCCGCTTAGAATGCATTTCTAGAGATTTGAAAGTACTCTGGATAAGCGAAAAAGTGTTTTCAATGCATTTATGAGGTAACCGTGGTTGGGTGCCCCTGGAAGGTGTTATTTTGTTCTTTTATTGTTTACTCACGTTCTTCAATGCATTCAGTGGGATGTGATTTTTATTCAAAGAAGTTAATTCTTGTTCAAACAAACGACTGTAAAATATAACCGTCATTTACATGAAGAATAATATTTCCTGACGCAGAATGCAAACAGTGCCAACTCGACAAAAGAATATAAAGCGGGCTGTTAAAACCACTGATCAGAGCGCCGCGATCAAACCACCTGAATTGTAAGTTCTCGGCTCCTTCGATTCAAAACGTGGTTAAGTTCCTTTTAATTGTTACTACGATGTTTACCATAAAAAATGAAGTATGTTTTCTTAAAATTTGCAGCCAGTGCGCGAAGCGCAAAATAAACAATACGGTTCGGGTTGTTCGTCTCAAATCTCGTCTGTTCGGCGCTTGCCTCACCCCTCACTACTGCGTCGTCCATTTCGCCAGTCAACTAACACTCCTACCCACCCCCTAAGGTGAAATGTCTCCTTACTTCGCTCCTCCCGAAAATTCAAATCTCATCGGAAAGAAGTAATCGGTAAAGTTGAAATTTGCCGCGCGTAAAAGCTATTGTTTCACGTTGATCGTTTTTGTCCTTAAAAGGCAAGAAACGATCAAAAATAACAATACAAAACAATACCTATTGTTCTCGAATTCAGGTCGCTTTTCCTGATACGATTGAATGAATGATTGAACATTGAAGGACTGTCATACCTACTCTTGTTTTGTCTATTCTACATTTAACGATTATAATTACCTAAACAGCTAAAACCACCAACCCGGACTAATCCCTACCCAATTTATTAATATTTCGATGTTTCCGTTTTGCCCCTTTCGGCAGGCGTATTGTGACATGACTGCTGATGGTCAGGGATGGACTCTTATTGCTCGTTTCTCAAATAAAGACAGTAAATACTGGATGAAGAATGACGGTTCATGGTGGTACGACAAGACAGGAGCTGCTGGAGACACAACTGATCCATCTAGTAATACTGACATGATCTCTCCAGCATTCTGGTTGGTCAGCAGCAGAGAGCTCAAGATCACTCGCAGTGATGACCCACAACAAACTGCTCTGTTGCAAACCACAGATGACTGTGTGGGTGGGCAGTCATTCAGGTCGAAAATCACAAGCTATGGTAACTTTAGACACGGAAAAGTCTGGGCAAGCAGTAAGTGTAGGGGGAGATGCACGATTCAATATGGAGGCCAGTACCGTACAACTTCCGGTTTTTCTCAGGCCAGTTGCAATGGAAATATCCAGAGTGCGAAAAGGATTGGCTTCTGGTGCGACTGGAGTTCAGGTGATGGAGCTGTGATGATGATTGGTGGTGGAGGTAGTAGTTGCGCTCGGGCTGATCACGGTATTGGAATAACAGAAGATGACGCCGCTTCATTCAATGATTATTATGAACAAGACTTTGGAAATTCCGCTTATAGCATCACAAATGGTTACTCCTTAAATCTGTGGATACGTTAGCTCTTTTACTGCTGTCGTAACGTCCTGCCAGTCAACCATTGTTCAGTCTACTCTTCAACCAGATGAAAGTTAAAAAACTTATTTTCCTAGCTGTCCGTATTACGGCTCTCTAGTTCCCATGGATTGTATTTTCTCTGGGACTGAATTAACTCAGGGGTCACGATGGCGGCATGCAATTTGCATTTTAATTTTTAGGAGACACAGACAGTCTATTTGCAGTGTATCATAAGACGTGTTATTTTTACATAAGCTCGGATTCCTTTGTTCTTTTCGGGGGGAATATATTACATAACCCCCGAATCAACTGTCTGAAAAGCTGGGTGCGGCTTTGATTGTTTGAAGGGAAGAGCGGGGCTAATGAACAGCTAGTTAAAATGCAAGGGGATTATGTATTAATATGCGAGGGGGATAAGTGACTTATCCCCCTTGCATATTAATACATAATCCCCTCGCATTTTAATTAGTTTTCATAAAAAAACAAATTTAAAACTGTTTATTGGAAATATTAAACACGACACTATAATTCCTAAAATTAAACTGAGCTGCGTTTCTTTTGCGCCACATTCACGGATTTTCTTAGTTGTTGGATTTCCACAGCCAGAACGACAGTCTGAAATTGAACAGCGTCTTTTAAGCAAACATTAAAGTTTACACCTTATTGCCATAGTGCTTTAGCGTCGTCATCCCCCAATGCAAGCCATCCCAATAGTGCACTCTGCACTAAAAAGAAATGGGCTATCTTACGAACTGTATACTAATTAATACTACGATAATTAATACTATGATCAGTTTCATGTAAAAGACATCCCTCCTAGAAAATGTAAGCCATAATTGTTTTAAGATCTTTAAGAATTTTTTATGTAAATTTATATGCAGTGCAATAAAATATCTTTAAGTAATAATCCAGATAAGAACTGTTGTATTTTCTGTTGTTCTGCGGCAATACGCTATCCCCACATTAAAACGGTTGTTTTTTTTTTCAAACGGAGAATTTATCAATCGATGGAAAGCTGGCTTATGAAATAAAACGTATTTAAACTCTATTTTGAAAGGTAGTTTCCTTTGTGTTAAAACATTTCATCACAACAGTCGTAAACAAAGACAGTAAAACCTTCCAATTTTTCAAACTTCCCCATACATGACTGTGGTATTTAGACTCAGAAGAGGTTTTCTTAAAATAAAGATAGTTGATCAGTTTAGCAAAAATAAATATACGGCTACCTGAAGTTTTGGTATATTTTGCTGATTGAGTCAATCAAAAGTATGATACAAAAATAGCAAAGATGCGCTTAAGTTAGCACCTTTCTGCATTCCAGCTCGGAACAAAAAAGTAGTAAGTACAGTAAAGTGTTTTTCTTTATTAGTTTATCACTTCATGGCACTAGCATTCCTCGTAAATATTTAAGCAATAGACCACAAGTTTCTATGGGTTATAAGCAGATAAACCACGCGGGATGTTGGTAGAACACGAAAAGAATTTGTAAACCACGAACTGCAACAAAAAAATCGTGATACTCACGGCAGAACCGTGAGAGTTGGAAGGGCTGTAAACATCTTGTATAAAATTCTATTACCCTCAGCAATAACTTATTACTGAAAACCATTTCTCTTTTTATATCAAGCTCAGCACCCACGAGGACGCACTTCTTTCCACCAGTTAAAAGGGTACAAGTGCTTCAAAATCTCAATACCGCCTTTAGGAATGGAGATATTGAAGAATCCAAATTTCACTTGAGGTAGTTCTTGTTCCACCAGCCATGCAGGAAATGAATGATATATCCTCTAATTGAGAGCAAAGGCCCATGACTCTATTCCCGTCCTCGTCATAGTACCTCCATGATTGTAGAATGCAAACAGATCGACAGACAACCACAAACCCTCTTTGTGAATTACATGGTTCCTTTCTGTATCCACTTGTTACTTGCTTTAAAACCTGCTGCCACAAAAGGAGCAAGAAATTCATCCAAGGTCATATCTGCAAATATTCCTTCACCATCAAATCCAATGTCAACATCATTGTCCCATGGGAGCGGTTTGCCGATACGATGCGCTCCCCAAATGGAACCATACATCAACTAATGCCGGATTTTCATGTCGTCTAGTATTTTGTAAACTTTGTATGTAACTTCCAGCAGCTGATTTATTTCTAATTCACTGTTCTGACAAGAAACAACTGATCCCCACCTGTTATAGTAAGCAAAGTTCTGTAAATTTAAGTACACATACGTTCCCACAAGGTCCAAACCTATTACGAGACGGATAAGCAGGCTCCGCTTTCTGCGTCTCATCAGTTCTCCTTGTCTGTTTTTTTTCATTAGGCGTGTCTGTAGCTGAGGATGGACAGGAGCATAATGGTATCTGAAAAATGGATAAAACCATTTAAAAAGTTAACAAAAATAACTTAATACATGCTTTTTTTTTGAGTGGAATGACCATCATGATAATGCATCTGAACTTTTAAGAACGATGCAATAAATTTGTATGGCATTTCTCATTTAAGAACGTAAAATTAGAAACCTAATTCCAGCTCCCCTCCATGCCAGAGGGGATTGGACAAGACCAGAAATGGCTTAATATTACAAAGTTTTATGTAAACGCCCATAAAAACTCAGTTAAATGACCTTGCTTTCCATGATTTCTCGTAGCTCAGTTTATAGAGCACCCACAGAGTGTTTGGGAGGTCATGGTATCGATTCCTGTCAGGACTCAGATTTTCGTTGTCCAACGCTCGTGTCATGTTGATTAGTTTACTTTTCACTTTTCATTGCCCAGCTTAAAAATTTACTGTCTTTATTTAATTATCAAATTCTCATGGTGTTCGCGGGAGCTCTGAACAGACAACCAAATGTCAAACACATTCATGCCGAGAAAACACACATCGAAAAACGTCTTCTTCCCTCAAGAAGCGATTCCTTCCAAATTGACTTGTGAGAAAATACATGCTCCTTATTGGTCCATTACCTATAATACAATTCAGTGCATGTCCAACCTCCTCTAGCTACGAACAATAATGTCACAAATCTGGCTCATGAAGAGACTGTATTCACATTTTCTTCCCAAAGAAATACTACTGAGAGTAAATTATGAGGAGATCAGAATCTCTGATAAATGACGCAAGCAAGTAGAAGCTCTGAAACTTATTAGAAAGTTGTTACATTCCACTGAACAACTCAAGTCTAGCTTTTATGAGTTGATGAGGTCAAAGATTTTTACCAACAATGTCGGTATACCACAATGGCTGTCTCAGACTGCAGTGTTTATCCTTGACCTCACTGTGACCTCACCTTGTTATCCTGGACGGGACAAATTAATAACTAGGATGTACTATTTCAAATCCCAGTTAGTTCCCTTGGGAGTTCAAGATAGCAGTAAATTCATTAATGTCAAAGACCGGCAAACTGCAATCGAAAGCCAGTTTTATTGTTTACTGGACAAAGGGTTATGAGCTATTAGGATTTGATGATTTAGTTACTGTAATAAAAAGTACTGACCAATAACCTGCCCTTGATATAATTTGCTCCTTATCAGTTTTATCAACAATCAGGAATGTTATATTTATATTTCAGTGAGGGGAGAGTTGAAAAGACTGAGCCCCGTTCCGCGGACTACCCAGTGACCCCCACTCCGTGGACTACCCTGCGGACTACCCCCACGGACTACCTTAAATAACCAACCACATTTACTTTAACGTGGAAAAGAGACAATCATGACTGTATGAAAAACAGTCGCCATTTTCGTTTCACCAACTTCCTCGACCGAGTGTTTTTTTTTTCTTTTTACTTCATTCTTCATCGACCTTATGCCAAATCCCCGTTTTCTGAATGGACTGTTTCTGGATTCCGTGTATTTTGTGTTTATGGTTGCCCCAAATCTACACGGGCAGAATGTCATGCCTCAGTGTTATGTCGGTGAAACCGCTAGACATTTTGGCACCAGGACTACTAACTTAGGAAGCGCTTAATCTCAGATCTCAATTCCCATGTCTAGAAACATCTTTAGGGTTCTGAGTTGTGTAAGAACCTAGGCTCTTTTAATTGTTTTTGCATTTTGGAATCGGCTCTTACCAGGTTTTAACTTAAGATCAAAGAAGCCCTTCATGTTGAATGGGAACGACCTGCACTGAATAAGCAACTGAAACATGTTAGTTTAAGGGGGCTGGAAACAGTTTCCACTACTTTCCAAGGCTTACAGTTTGATGGGTCATTATAACCACTCTATACGAGTTGATGCCCAAATCGTAATATCAACAAACTGGCCAATCATCGGTGAACAAGTTGCTGTTAGTTTTGAGGCACAATAGGTTACCATAGTAACAATATGACCTGCTAAAAACACCCTTAATTTTAGCTTTAAGCGCTTATGACTCAAAAATGAGCTCGGTGACCCCCATGTTTTATTATCGAATTGTAATCAACATGATAAGATGGAACTTTTTGCAAAGTTTAAAAAAATTCTGCGAAGGGGTTTCAGAGCCACCTTAAATTTTGGAAAATTTTCCTTTCCCTCCATTTTGGGACTTGCAGCCACTGTGTCCTTCTTCCATAACGAAGCCCGATTTACTCAGATTTAGGTGTTCTTCCGGGCATGTTCTCTCCAAAACGAGGTCGGTGACCCCCATTTTTTTACATTTCTGACATCACTAACTGATCATCTTTCAGTGGTAAAATTTTCAGAAAAAAAATCAATGTTAGAACATTTTCGCGCGAACGTCCTTAATTAACACTCTTACTTTAATTACTTTTAGTGTTCAACATTTTTCACAAACTTGTACTTGCACCTTTTTATTTTCCCAGTTTTGTAACCATTATTCTACATTTTGCAATTATCGCGTACTTGTTTCTTACTTCATATAAAGTCACTCCCTTGTAAACATCCTTCAACTGAAGATGGTACTGGGTATCTGAAACATTCTTTGTAAATGCAAACGTTTTTACGATAACTGCAGAAATTCTCGCGCGCTCATTGACAAGTTTTTATTGTCAATAAGCGGACAGACACATGAATTTATAATTTATGCGATGCGTCAAGGAACGAAAGCGGACAATTTGACAATTTGTTAGTCTGCGGATCCACTCGACTATCTCCTCGTGGATCCACAGCTCCTTTCACAATGCCCTTGTTATGATGAAATTCATGATCAATAACAGGACAGACGCATGAAAACTGACGTCAATTTTTAAGTCGTTTGATTCGAGTCTTTCAGCTACGAAGATTTGGCATCTTAAGATATAAATTTTAGCTTTTGTACATGAAAAGGTAAATTCTGAAGAACTCTTGGTAAGAACTTTTTTCCATTTTTTCTTTGTTTTCAAACAGTGCTAACAACAGCATTTTTGGTTAAGCCGACATTGATGCTAAGTATCTCTGAAAAAAATGTTGCTGCCACTACTTTCTTTTTGAATTCCAATAGCCTTTGCCAGATTCTGGCTCGAGATTTTTCTATTTATAGGTGTTCCGAAGGTACCTTTCTTAATTATTTATTATTATATGGCTTGTGTTTGAATCCAGTATAACGCGCGCTCTGATTGGCTAAGTGCAACTTAACGACAGGGCATTATTCTCCTGTAATACCCACGGGCTGATTACGATTACGGATTATGCAAATTAGGAAAAGAAAAAACACAAAAGGTTATCCAAATCTAGACCATATTTCCTTTATTTACATTTAAAATCGTTGTGATACAAGACGATGAGTGACGATTAACATTCAGAGAGTTAATTATATCACTATTTTAAGGAAAAAATGAAGTTACATCGGCAAATTACGAACGAGTTCATTGGTCAGGGAGAAATTGAATTAAGGCCTCAGTGTACCCCAAATTTGATCATTTTTCAAAAAAGTTGTTTTCCGCCTTTTTAGATAGATCTTACAGCAATCTTTTCTAGATCTTATAGCAATCTTTTATTTTAAAAAAATTCTATGAAAAAAGATTGAATGTAAGCAAAGTTATTAACGAAAATTGTTTCTTTCCATTAATTATCTCTAATTGATAACTGTCAACACGTTGTCAACACGAGAGTTAATTTGCATTAAAAGATCACGTGACAGACGTGGTGTTGTGCGATTTTCACACGTTTGTGAGCTGCTTCAAGAATTTTCTAATTTGTAGACAAAAATTTAAAAACTTGTATCTATTCCATGTAGTCGAAGAAAAAAGGCAAGAGTCCTAGCTTGTCCTTTTGCTAGTGCGAAGTAATATGTCAAACACGAGAAACAGTGTTTCATCGGGATATCCAAACACCAAGAAGAGAGTTGAAAATACGACGCGCAGCGGAGTATTTTTGACGAAATTGGAGGTGTTTGAATATCCGATGAAACACTGTCTCGAGTGTTTGATATATCTTCTCAATCGAAACAAAAACTAAGGAGTAAATGGAGAAGTAAAATCGTCAAAATCTATGCTAATTAAGACCTGGTATCCAAACCTCCTTCACGCTTATGATTTTCTTTGTTTTAATTTGATGAATTATTAATGAGTTTGAGAAGAAACTTTCAAAGAGGAAAAAGGATTCGATTTCATTTGATAAGGATCGAGCTGATGTGTTAGCGGCTAGTGATCGAGGTTCCTACTTTGAACAGAAGAAATATTGCTCTAGACGAGGAGGAGCATTGATTGAGAGAACGAGGCCGTTAGTGTTAGTGTTATCCGGGCGAAAATTGAAGGCAAAGGCTAAGACAAACCCGCAGAACCGGACTCACAAGAGTCTTGGCAAGAGTTGGCCGGTCGAACAATTGTTGCCGGAGATCGCTTGCAAGAAAATCTCTTGAAATCAGTTTCTTGTCAGTTTTCTCACGCAGATGTGATTTTGTTAGAGAATGTTTTTGCAAGATCCGTGCTTGGTTCATGTTGGATCGTGTCCTGTCAAAACGAGAACTGCCCATACATTTCTCTTATCATAATTTCCTTGGCGCTTTCGCTACTCGAAGCGATAACTTCTTGATCAATACCTGCACGAGTTACGTCCTCGAAGATTTCCTTTCCCTTGTTTACGCGAACGCTTTTTTCGTGTCTTCAGCATCCCTCAAGCTGTTTCGTTAGAGGAAATGTGAATCCACATTAAGCTTAGTAGAAAACGAAAAATTGAACGAAAATCATTCAGTCCCTACTAACCTACTTGCGCGAGCGGCGGAAATCAGGCTTACAAAGGAGCAACATCCCACCAGGAGCAACATTTTGAGCCCGCTTAAGTAAAACTAGTATCCCTAAATGGTAAAAATGCTGCCGAAAGGGAGAACGATATTGAGTATGGTAATTGTTACCCTATGAACTGAACTGTGAAGAATTGTTTTACACAAGACATAATGGTATCGTTATGATGGGAAATCAATTGAAACTGTCTTCAGGTCGGGGGTTTTCTAGGCTTGAATAGATGTTGCGTGCGTGTAGCATTTTTTGCTTCAGAATTTTTGTTATTTCAGCTTTCATTATATAATATTTGATGTTATGCCTTGTCTCCCCTGCCCTAAAAAAGGACGAAAGTAATAATACTTTTAATGGCAATTGGAAAAGAATTTTTGAGCAGAACTTCATGATGTGTTTCGGTACATAGAGGGGGCTATTATTGTAACCTGTGAAAACCTGTTTTCCTGAGAAAATGAACGGTGGCTAAACATCAACATTGAGCAATAGACATTGCGAAAAACTGTTTAATAAAATTATATATAAAATAACATTTTGTTAAGTACTCTAAAATCTGTCACATCAACATTATGGTATTGAAAATCAGTTGTCTCTCCAACAGTAACTTGCAATGTTGAAAAATCAACTCGAAACTATTATGAATTTGACATTATAGTCACATTATACTCTGTGAAACAGTACAGTTAATTTTTTTTATGACATACAGTACCGCTCAGAAATAAGCGAACTTCGCGTGCGCAGTCTAAACGCGCATAGGTATAGGTATTTCTTTGTTATTCACCTCTAACTGTTTCTTTTGTGAAGTATTGTTGGACAAAACAATAACTAGCTTTGTTAGGAAAACTCAAAAAGCGAGAGCCTTTCGATAACAGCCAAATTTGCATGTTGTAAAAACATCTTCAATGAAGCTATCGTATTTCCAATCTAGTCGATTAATTATCACTGCCTACTTGCAACGACTGCTTGGTTTTCTCCCTGTTTAGGAAAAGAATATCATCCGCTAAGCATACACTTCATTTTACATACATACATACATACATACATACATACATACATCTGTCCTGATTTGACAAAACATGGACTCCGGAATCCAGGCTTGAAGGTCGACGATAGTCGACCTTCAAGCCAGTGGCGTCCACAAAAATTGAGGGGGGGCTCCGTCAAGCACCATTGTGGCAGTTAGCCAGGGCCTTGGTCTACCTACCCTTGGGAGCCCAGGGTCAGCATTTGAATTTCAGGCCCGCTAGGGGGGTGGGTAAGTTCGGTGTTTTGCCTTGTTTCAACTAAGACTTTTGCTCTGCTTTAAGGGTCAGTACTGGTTCTTGACTTTGCCTTCTGTTAGCTTAGCTTTGACCGTCGAGGGCAGAAGTAGCTTGGGTTAGGTGGAGGGGCCTCCAGTCCCAAAAGGGGGAGAGAAGGGTGGGAAAAAATGACCTAGAGTGCATTTGGCTTTCCCTGGCTATCTTTTGCTAAATCAGGACAGACATACATACATACATACATACATACATACATACATACATACGCAATAACTGGGAAAAAATTTGGCAGAAATCTATGGCTACTTTTTTGGCAAATGAAATAAATGGTACAGATAGAGGCGTAACGGGCCTAATAGAGCAAGTCCAAATTATGTTTCCTTTAAAAGATAAAATATCAATTAATAATGAAGGGTATTTGAAGCCATTTTTTCCGGGACGTAGATGATTAAGTAATCAAAGAAAGTCGAACTCTGTGTAGTATAACAAACCGCATTGAAGAATAATCGAGCTTATTTGTTGCGCACTGAGATAACCAAACGTCACCTAAATAACCATATTTGTCAGCATCGTGGCATGAAAACAAGCACGGTGACCCCTTTTTTTATTACGTTTTTAACATCTCCTTGTACTGTAATGACACCATACCAAGTTTCATTGGAAATCTATGGCGAGCTCTTTTACTCGGGAATTACCTTAAGTCTAGCAATGCCGTGTAAATAGTGTCACAGCGAAAAAGCCGCCTCACGATCTTTTTATTGCTTTAAGAGCGAGCAATATATCCAAGCGAAATGTTGTCTTTAAACAATAAGCTTTCTCCCACCCCAGGAAGTTTTGGTTCAGAAAGAAATGGTTCGTTCGTGGAACACGTTCGCGACGCATTTCGCCGGCTACTGTTCCTGCTAAATATAGCGCGAGTTTGTAAACGACACGTCAATTTTAGTTTAAAAAGCGTTGTTTTCACATCTTAGTTCGTAGCTTTAACAAGAGTATCACTAAGAATTGTGAAGCAAATTGACTTAAGTTTTCAACCACAGTAAACATAAATAATGAGCCAAGATTCTCAATAACTTCGTGCCGCTGTTGACGTGTTCTGCTGAGCCGCTTTTGCGTCACCGGAGAGGAAGTGAAATAAAATATCTCGGTTGTATTAATTGGCGTAAATCGGAGATTTTAAACGGTGGTACGTATACGATCTATATCCGTAGAAACGATGTATTATCGGAGTTTCTACCATGCACCGTGCACCGTGAACATGTATTAACTATTTAATTTTGCACGATAAAGTTTTTGCGACTCTTGTACCTGCCTCTTGCTAATTGTCTATCGACTTTAAGCGTCACGGCAAGTAGTGAAAATAATGATTCTATGGTTCACTGCGCATCCTAAATCATCCATTGGCGCATAACCACAATTCCTTGCGCCATATCACTGCGCATCCTAAAATATTTCCGTTCGCGCATAACCACAATTCTTCGCGCATACCACTGCGCATCCTAAATCTCCCATTTGCGCATAACCACAATTCCTTGCGTTTGGTAAGAAAAAGTGATTGCAATCCCCAATAATGTAATCTTCTGCTGATTATAGAGCTGCCTCGATCGTTCGCTTCAGGCTCACTCGCTGCGGCAACAATAATCCTTCACTTGGTCTATCACAACATGATCTCCTCTTTGAATTAACCATTATCGTTAATTATAAAGTTCCTTTGAATTTACGATTATAGTTAATCTAGAACACTGTTTCCCAGGCTGTTTCAGAATAGAGCAAATTGAAAAAAAAATTCGTGTTATTTGGACTGGATTTGAACCAGGAATTACCCGCCGCTTGCAGGATCGGCTACTTACCACTAGGCCACGGAAGAACAAGGCGACGGGAAGAAATTTAACTAAATTTTTAATAGAGTTTTGCATAGAATATCACTGATGTACAATGATTAGGCCTAAGCGCAGATATTAAATTGTTAGCTTTTTGTTATGGTTTGGTGATCGACCTTTTCCATTCACTTTATGAAATTATTTTTAGCGAGTAATTATATATGCTTACCACAGGGTGTAGAATAAGTGTATGAATTATATTGTTTCAAAATCGAGGTTTGTCGAACCAGCAACGTGGTGGTCTGATGGTTAGAGGAGAGGATGAGAAAGCGGAGATTCGCAGGTTTGAGTCCTGTCCGGACACTGATGATTGTCCTTTTTCAACAAAAATGCTTACTTCTCAGAATTCCTTTCAGACTGTAAGTGTTCTAGATTAACTATAATCGTAAATTCAAAGGAACTTTATAATTAACGATAATGGTTAATTCAAAGAGGAGATCATGCTGTCTATCAACAGGTCACTATATTCCGCATGTATATTTTCCTTCATATCTCGAAACGAAAATTTCAGCGAGTAAAGCGCACATTTTAAGTTCGTTTCTAGCGAATTTTCCACGTTTTTCGCTGAAATTTGGAGAGAATGTAGCCCGATGATCAGGCAAAAAAACGGTGGAATTTTTATTTTTTGCTTCTCTCAAAAGTTATGACTATTTTAGTGAAGAGAATGCATGTTTTTTCAACTCTCAAAGTTTAACTGCGTGTCAGAATCAAACCAGACAAGTAATCAAGAAGACATAGCGATATTAATCGCGTTCTCCCGCTCAAATCTGAGCGGAAACGAACATGTTTAGTGAACCTCTGTACATTGAGAAATAGCACGCTTTATTTGACAAACCTTAATTTTTTCTACGTTGGTAAATAAACCCTCGGAATCTACAATTATTAAGCTTTCAGAAAATATATACTTTAGTAGGGTTTGCGTCAACTGTGCGACCGTAACGCGGCGCTGAAGAATGATGGTCATTTCGGGTACACTGATACCTAAAGCGTATTCAAACAAAGAGAAAAACCACGAAAGGAAAGGAAAACTGCCAGTAAAATGAAAACATTTCAGCGATATTTGCCATCAATGGGCTAAGGAAGCATAGCAGAAGTTTTGGACTTACCGGCTGCTGACCTTGACCACTTATTGGCAAAGCTTTTTTTATAGATATGGGAAAAAGGATGGTGACCGGATTATGAACCTGACACCCTGTCGGGTTTGCAACGAAGTATACAGAGATTCCTTTCCGAAAGCAGGTCTCCTTTCACTGTCTTTTCACCATTCAAAAGGCAATTGGTGACACCAGAGCAGTACAGCAGTCAACAGCAACAAATTAATTTCCCTTGCTGTAACACAAGCCAGTTTATCAACATCTTCAGGCGAGCGGTTTTTTTTTATCCGGTGTGAGTGCCAGTTCAAGATCTTTAACGGGCCAGTAACTATAATCCAGGAATCTCAGAAGAGGCGAAGAGTTTTCATCGAAAGTGACGACGAAGAGTAGTGCTGATTCCGTTTAAATTGTATTTTCTTTTACCGACACGGCCGCACGGCTTTTTATGCAAGTTTGAAGCACTTTTCTGTAGGAGCTGACTTCTGGCGGTTAATTATTGAAAATGTCGATGAAATTTATCTCGTCATATAGTTACAAACAGGTACTAAAATACTTTTTGTGGCCGTATTGATCATTGTTTTCCACTAATAAATATATTCTTGACGGAGTACGCGTAAGCTCGCTGAATTCTGTTGTGCAGTTTCGCATCACCGGATGTGAAGTAACGACTTCCCCTTGAATTAAGATTTTTCTTTCTTTAGAACCGTCTTTCTAGCCATATAATAAACAGCTTAATAATCTGGACCGTTCGGTCGTTACGAGAAAATCTCAAACCTCGGTCTACCGTATTGACCTCGCTCTCGCTCGGTCAATACGGCAAGGCATCAGTTTGAGATTTTCCCGTAACGACCTCACTCTCGGTTATTAAGTAGTTATTAATGTGTATTTTTAAGGTCACCAGACGATATTCTGTGTAACCTGCGATCAGGCATCCCTTTTTTCCGTCCCTTTTTTAATTTGCGTCATTTGAAGTGGGACAAGCTATCATTAAGAAGACGAAAACAGAAAGCTATTATGATGTTTAAATCTCTCAACGGGTTAGCCCCAGTGTACTTGCAAGATTTATTCAGTGAGCGACACACAGACTATGACATGCGCGATTCTTTCCGTAAGTTAAACTTACCCAAGCCGCGTACCGACTATTTAAAACGTAGCTTTGGCTATAGCGGTGCCTTACTATGGAATTCTCTTCCTGAAAATATTAGGGCAATTAGATCAATTGGGCAGCTTAAGAAGAAAATCAACCGCGCACTTAAAACATCCGATTCCCACTCGGTAATCTTCTAAATCAGTTTTTATAGTTATTTTAATTTTTAAAAATAATTGTAATTAAAATACTATTAGTATAACTAACGATTGTTAACCGAGTTTAAATAAAGATTTTTTAAGTCTTACATTCATGAGTAGCTCACTTTTCTTAAAGTGCACAACCTTTACTTCATGTACTTCATTGTGTAAGTAAACGAAACAGCAACACAGCATACCATGGAGGTTATGGCTCAAAAATATGCTAAAATTGAAACTGAAGAAAATGAAACGTGGTTACAGAAATTACCCCTTGGAACTACAGAACAGCTAACAAGAAATCTTTTCAACACAGTATTTGCACAGAATCTATTAATTAAATGGTGGAATAGTCTTCCGTTAGAAATACGTACATTGTCTCTCCTAAGCATTTTTAACCACAGTCTCTCAAAGTACTTGCAGTGTCTAACCCGTAACTACCATTTTTATCTTGGGGATTGTTCAGCGCCGCTTGCGACTTAATTTTTGTGCCCTGAAATACCGACTTTTTCAGAAAAACTAGTCTGTCCACTTTGCGATGCACCTGTTGAAGATCCTAAACACTATTTTCTGTATTGCGCAAGTTTTGCTGCCTCTGCGTGAAAAGCTGTTTGCCTCCGCTGCACAATTGCTCGGAAAGAGATGGCATTGTTCTTCCAAAAAAAAAAAAAAATTTATGGGCTCTTAAATGGTATTTCTCACGATGATCTTGACTCTAATATTATGTATTTTAAGTACGTCCAATCATTTATTTCCTTGTCCAACTGTTCTGTTAACTTCTATTCCTTTGTGTATGTTTTGTTCGATCGTCACATGTGATATGCATTGTAAACAGCATAACCTCTCCAGAGGAGCCATTTTTATATTCTTATTGTCATCTAGGACAGCCTAATCTCCGATTCCATGAAAAGCACTGCTGATCTGATACCACATGCTGTGATCCCTGATCCCGAAGCTGTGAACCCTAATCCCGAGCATGTAATTCCAGATCACGGGGCTGTGATCCCTAATCCCGGGGCTGTGATCCCTGATCCCGAGCATGTGATCTCAGATCACGGGGCTGTGATCCCTAATCCCGAGCATGTGGTTCCAGACCACGGGTCTGGGATCCCTGATCCCGAGCATGTGATTCCAGATCACAAGGCTGTGATCCCTAATCCCGAGCATGTGATTCCAGATCACAGGGCTGTGATCCCTAATCCAGAGCATGTAATTCCAGATCACGGGGTTGTGATCCCTAATTCAGAGCAAGTGATCTCAGATCACGGGACTGTGATCCCTAATCCCGAGCATGTGATCTCAAATCACAGGGCTGTGATCCCTGATCCCGAGCATGTGATTCCAGATCACGGGGCAGTGATCCCTGATCCCGGGGCTGTGATCCCTGATCCCGAGCCTGTAATTCCAGATCACAGCGCTGTGATCCCTAATCCCGAGCATGTAACTCCAGATCAAGGGGCTGTGATCCCTAATCCCGAGCAAGTGATCTCAGATCACGGGACTGTGATCCCTAATCCCGAGCATGTGATCTCAAATCACCGGGCTGTGATCCCTGATCCCGAGCATGTAATTCCAGATCACGGGGCTGTGATCCCTGATTCCGGGGATGTGATCCCTGATCCCGAGCCTGTAATTCCAGATCACAGCGCTGTGATCCCTAATCCCGAGCATGTAACTCCAGATCAAGGGGCTGTGATCCCTAATCCCGAGCAAGTGATCTCAGATCACGGGACAGTGATCTCTAATCCCGAGCATGTGATCTCAAATCACGGGGCTGTGATCACTGATCCCGAGCATGTGATTCCAGATCACGGGGCTGTGATCCCTGATCCCGGGGCTGTGATCCCTGATCCCGAGCCTTTAATTCCAGATCACAGGGCTGTGATCCCTAATCCCGAGCATGTTATTCCAGATCACGGGGCTGTGATCCCTAATCCGGAGCAAGTGATCTCAGATCACGGGACTGTGATCCCTAATCCTGGGCATGTGATCTCAATTCACGGGGCTGTGATCCCTGATCCCGAGGATGTGATTCCAGATCATGGGGCTGTTATCCCTGATCCCGGGGCTGTGATCCCTGATCCCGGGGCTGTGATCCCTGATCCCGAGCTTGTAATTCCAGATCACTGGGCTGTGTTCCGTAATCCCGAGCATGTGATCTCAGATCACGGGGCTGGGATCCCTGATCCCGAGCATGTGATTCCAGATCACGGGGCTGTGATCCCTGATCCCGGGGCTGTGATCCCTGATCCCGAGCCTGTAATTCCAGATTACAAGGCTGTGATCCCTAATCCCGAGCATGTTATTCCAGATCACGGGGCTGTGCTCCCTAATCCGGAGCAAGTGACCTCAGATCACGGGACTGTGATACTAATCCCGAGAATGTGATCTCAAATCAGAGGGCTGTGATCCCTAATCCCGAGCATGTAATTCCAGATCACGGGGCTGTGATCCCAAATCCCGAGCAAGTGATTTCAGATCACGGGACTGTGATCCCTAATCCCGAGCATGTGATCTCAATTCACGGGGCTGTGATCCCTGATCCCGAGGATCTGATTCCAGATCACGGGGCTGTGATCCCTGATCCCGGGGCTGTGATCCCTGATCCCGAGCTTGTAATTCCAGATCACTGGGCTGTGATCCCAAATCCCGAGCATGTGATCTCAATTCACGGGGCTGTGATCCCTGATCCCGAGGATGTGATTCCAGATCACGGGGCTGCGATCTCAGATCACGGGGCTGTGATCCCTGATCCCCAGCTTGTAATTCCAGATCACAGGACTGTGATCCCTGATCCAGAGCATGTGATCTCAGATCACGGGGCTGTGATCCCTGATCCCGAGCCTGTGATTCCAGATCACGGGGCTGTGATCCCTGATCCCGAGCTTGTAATTCCAGATCACTGGGCTGTGATCCCTAATCCCGAACATGTGATCTCAATTCACGGGGCTGTGATCCATGATCCCGAGGATGTGATTCCAGATCACGGGGCTGCGATCTCAGATCACGGGGCTGTGATCCCTGATCCCGAGCTTGTAATTCAAGATCACAGGACTGTGACCCCTGATCCCGAGCATGCTCAGATCACGGGGCTGTGATCCCTGATTCCGAGCATGTGATTCCAGATCACGGGGCTGTGATCACTGATACCGAGCTTGTAATTCCAGATCACTGGGCTGTGATCCCTAATCCCGAGCATGTGATCTCAGATCAGGGGACTGTGATCTCTGATCCCGAACATGTGATTCCAGATCCCGAGCATGTGATTCCAGATCACGGGGCTGTGATCCCTGATCCTGAGCTTGTAATTCCAGATCAATGGGCTGTGATCCCTAATCCCGAGCATGTGATCTCAGATCAGGGGACTGTGATCTCTGATCACGAGCATGTGATTCCAGATCACGGGGCTGTGATCCCTGATCCCGAGCTTGTAATTCCAGATTACTGGGCTGTGATCCCTAATCCCGAGCATGTGATCTCAGATCACGGGGCTGTGATCCCTGATCCCGAGCATGTGATTCCAGATCCCGAGCATGTGATTCCAGATCACGGGGCTCTGATCCCTGATCCCGGGGCTGTGATCTCAGATCACGGGGCTGTGATCCCTGATCACGAGGCTGTGATCCCTGATCCCGAGCCTGTAATTCCAGATCATTGGGCTGTGATCCCTGATCCCGGGGCTGTGATCCATGATCCCGACCATGTGATTCCAGATCACGGGGCTGTGATCCCTGATCCTGGCCGTTTATAGGCCTTTGAACCCTGATCCCATATACCTCGTTACCACTCTGCTATATCGCTATCCGTTCTTCTCGGGTAATACGTTTTTAAAACGTTGGATGTACTATATATTACTTTACGTTCTGCACGGGCAATACGCTTTTAGAACGAAGAAATCATATATTCCACTCAAGAAACACACTTTAAAACGATGGAGGCATATTTGGCTTTCGCAGTCCACACGGACAAGATGCTTCACAACGAGGTATTCTGTCTGTGACACTGAGGTAGATAGATAGTAGATAGATACTTTTATTAAAATTACTATTTCAGTCCGAGGGCTGAATTACGATAATTTTTACAAATGTAAAACGTATATATATATATTGCTTCATTTCCACTTGGGTAACATGGTAATTAGAACGAGGGAACCTTACATTGCTTTCTGCTTCTCTGGAGTCACTCAGGATGTAATTTGCATACAAATCGCTGAAATCGTCATTTGCAAACATATTAGGCTCATCTCTAATGATATAATTTGCATAAAAATCGTCAAAATTCTCAACACGAATCAACATAAATCGTCAACATGAATCGTCATGAATTCCGCAAGCAGATTTTACTTGACGTCAATTCTTCAAAGCTGATTTTGCTTTGACGAATTTTAGTTCGTCAAAATCTTCAGCTCCACTCGGGTAACTCATGATGCCAATTTGCATAACAACAACCAAAATTGTCAAATTCGCCAACATGTTAAATCAATCTCTCGTGATTTGAGGAAAGTTCGTTAAGTCTGATATTTTCTTTACTGCCAGCATTTCTGGACATAAGACTAAGGACAATCAGGGAAGATGGAAATGGATGCACCAACAAGAAACCACAGTTATCATTATGACGCGCTAGATAATGGATTTCCTAATTATTTTCAGCCTACCTTACTAGCCATGACCGGGCGAATGTCTTCAAATTAACCGAGTTTATGCCCTGATGTACTCAAGGCGTTTAATCAAAGGTGATATCAAGCTATTCCAATGGTTCCATTTTTATTAACCTGGGCAGATAACGCAAGTGTCTGCATACAGATTAACTTGAAATCATGGATAGGCGAGTTCCGTAAAACTGTTTTCAATTTCTGATTAGCAGTTTAGTATTGAGACGAGCATGAAACACATTAAAACATGAAAATACAGCCGAACCTGCCGTAAGCTTAAGCGACCCCGACATGTCAAGCCCAGGCTGGGTCGCCACGAAGCTCTTCGAAACGTCTCACAGGATTGGCTGAGAACTGAAATAATTTACAAAAAATACTAACAACGGAACCTAGCCCTAAACTAATAGTAGGGTCGTGACGTGGTATATGGGATCAGGGGCAACACGCTTTAGAACGAGGTCTTCTGCTGGGGCAACACGCTTTGAGAACGAGGAAAATATACATTGCTGTCTGTTTCACTCAAGAAAATATCTATTGCTTCAGTTCTACTTGGGTAACACGGTAGTTAGAACGAGGGAACCATACATTGCTTTCTGCTTCACTCGTGTATCTCATGATGTAATTTGCATACAAATCGCTGAAATCGTCATTTGCAAACATATTAGGCCCTTCTCTAATGATATGATTTGCATAAAAATCGTCAAAATCGTCAACATGAATAGTTCTATATCGTCAACATGAATCGTCATGAATTCCGCAAAGCTGATTTTACTTGACGCCAATCAGTTCTTCAAAGCTGATTTTGCTTTGACAAATTTGACTAAAATTAGTCAAATTCGTCAAAATCGTCATGTCTACGCGGGTAACTCATCATGATGTCGATTTGAATAACAATAGCCAAAATCAACAAATTCGACATGTTAGGTCAATCTCTCGTGATTTGAGAAAAGTTCGTACAGTCTGATATTTTCTTTACTGCCAGCATTTCTGGACAAAAGAGGACAATAAGAGAAGGTGGAAATGGATGCACCAACAAGAAACCACAATTATCATTAGTTTAATCGATTGACGCGCTGGCTAATGGATTTCCTAATTATTTTCAACCTACCTTACTAGCCATGACCGGGAGAATGTCCTAAGCCGGGTTTATGCCCTGATGCACTGAAGGCGGTTAATTCAAAGGTGATATCAAGCTATTCCAATGGTTCCGTTTTTAGTAACCTCGGCAGAAAACGCAAGTGTCTGCATACAGATTAACTTGAAATCATAGAAAGGCGCTTTCCGTAAAATTGTTTTCAATTTCTGATTGGCAGTTCAGTATTGAGACGAGCATGAAACACACTTCAACATGAAAATACAGTCGAACCTGCCGTAAACCACCCCAACATGTCAAGCCCAGGCTGGGTCGCTACGAAGCTCTTCGGAACGTCTCACAGGATTGGCTGAGAAAATAATATACAAACAATAGTAACAATGGAACCTGGCCCTGAACTAATAGTAGGGTCATGACGTGGTATAATATATGGGATCAGGAGCAACACGCTTTAAAACGAGATATTCTGCTTGGACAACACGCTTTGAGAATGAGAGTAATGTACATTGCTATTTCTTCCTCTCAGGGAAATATATTGCTTCCGTTCCACTTGGGTAACATGGTAATTAGAACGAGGTAACCATACATTGCTTTCTTAGTTACTCGAGTAACTCATGATGGGTCGTAACAGCTTAAAGCTAAATAAGAATTAGGGGTTAAATGGAGATTATGTAATGAACGGGTGACGTTACAGTGACGTCGGTCAATTTCATGGAGCAGCATTGGTGTGGCATATACGATATGCTGGCTTTTTGAAATTAATCGTCATTTTTTTATCGCAATTCTCACCAGAACACAACGAGCACATGTTTATCTTTGTTTTCTTTCCCAAATCCGAGGAGAGGCACAAATTTGAACTGTTTTACCGACGCGTTACAATATTGCGTGACGGTTTTCAAACGGATTATCACTGAGAAGGACGTCAAAATGACGTCACAGCTCGGTTTGTGGATCATTTTGGTGGCAGCATTCAACTAAGCACACAAAATAACATAAAATTAGAAAGACTCTCGCTGATTGTAAGAAAAATTGCACGGTTTACAACGATTTACAACTGCTTTATAAAGAATAGTTAAGAGATTTCTTTTATATTCTAGGGTTAAGCATTTGTAAACCGTAGGAATTTCGTGGTAGACAAGTTATAAGTACAGCTAAAGATATCTTCTTATATAGTTTTGTATCCTGATTCCATTCCTAAAACAAATTTTTTCTAACCATATCTATGACGTCACAATTGCGTCAAAACCACTTGTAACTCGTTTGTAAACGGTTCGAAAACCGATGTAAACCGTGTCTCTTGGCACTAGAAGGTGTGTCTGGAATGACAATAGCTCATAGGAACATCCTTTGAAAGATCTTAAAGTACTTTTTACCGACGCACAACCTTTCGGAGGAAAAATGGGCCTTTCTTGAGGGTCTCAATGGGGTTAAGGGGGGAGAAACTTAACTATAAGTCTGTTGCCAAGGAAATCTGAAAACCTCCTTTTTGGGGGCTCCTGAAGTCTAGTGGGCATCAAAGTTTACCGTGTTTGTTTGATTCACGTTTCCTTTAAATGTTTCGAACCACGCCCATATTTGGTATGTCACGTGACCACAATAGAAAACGTCTAAAAACTCGGACTGAGTGGATCGTTTCCGAAATATAACAATACATTTTACCAAAATACGGCATTATCTACAACTTGTAGTATGCGTTTGAGGAAATGTACAATATTTCGAAAATTATAGATGTTTAAGTGCTTTTATAGCCTCTTAAAGAGTACAGCTGTTGTAGTTGAGTTTCTCCCCTTAACCGCTAGCCGTAAAACGCCCAAAAATTTAGCCGTTAGGCATAAAAATGTAAGAATTTTAACCATTAGCCGTAAAAAATTGTTAACCGCAAATAAATCTAGCCACAAAATGAGGTCTCGAAATCTTTTGTTGAGTCTGATGTGTTATGCATTTATGTGTTCTTGTCCACGCTAGTAGCGGCTCGCGGCATTGCCACTCTCACGTCACGCTCACAGTCACGTTCGAACGCTTACTGCTTTTGCGTTCTTTCCCACGGATTCTGGTAGTGAGAATTACAATCGAAACCTGAAGTGTCGAAAGTGTCTGCATAATTTGTCGCATGGATGTCGTTGCGCGAGTTGACAGACGTTTTGACAGCTCTACTATTTTACGACTTTCTACTTTCTCTCATGCTGACCGGTAGCGATGCATGGCTGTATTGAAAGCGATAGTAAGTCTCTATCGCGCTGGAGAAGAGAAGCCTATAGTCGATTGCAAAATCTGATTCTTCAGTTATTTACTTCGCTGCGGCAAAAAGTCCCTATTTTAACGGTGGCCTGTACTGTTTTGACATGGAATCCAGTGAGGTAACAAATGTGCTTGAAAATAAGACTGACAACTGCAGAGAGATCAAAAAAGTAGCAAGATTCAAGGGCACACTAGTTTTAACAGATGTTGGGGGTCGTCAAGTAAAGTGGTACAATCCATCGACCAAGAAAGTTGAAACTCTTGCCGGAGATGGAAGCGCAGGAGCGCAAGATGGGACTGGAAAAAGCTGCAGCTTCGTTCAAGTGCAAGCATTTGTCGTGTTTCAGATACACTTTTCACAACGGATGCTGCTGCAGGGAAAATCAAGCTTATGACGGGTTTGTCTGAACGACAGACTTTTTAGAACACCTTGGCATTCTTTATGACACCTTTAGTATTACTTGCAAAGCCTCTATACCTCTCAGTCAATTATGCCAGAGCAAGTCATTCAGAATCTGACGTCACGATAGATGAGTACATCAAAGCTACGGTGATGAATGTCAAAGAAACAAACAACCTCAAGGAGGACTCAACAACGAATGATCCTCAAGGAACAGTGTCCCAGAATACACAAACCTCTATCGAGCTTCTACTGAATGGTGTGAAGAGCCTTATGAGCAAAGTCACAAATGTTAATCCAAACTACAAAGATTTTTTTTTTAACCACTATATTTATTTTTTTATTTTTTTATTTCACTTATTTAATACA